GGCACCTGGACAAGACCTGCGGCCTATTTCCACATCCAGGGACCCAAACAGGAATGACCAGGGCTGTCTAGGCTGGTGCCGACTGGTTAGGGACGCTCAGGGCCTGGAGCTTAGCCTTGGGAAGAGAGGCCACAAACCCACTCCCTGCTCCTCCATGGAGCTTCCAAGGCCTGGATGCAGGGGTCTGCGGCAGGACAGCCGGGTCTGGTGGGGGCAGGGGTCAGGGCAGACTCACCTGGCAGGGCAGGGCTCCTCACTGCACTTCCTCTGGCGGTCGTCCGGCCGGCCCACAGGGTCACAGTGTCCCTCATCCACAGGTCCCGCCTGCCGCTCCATGCAATACACGCTCTGCCTTTGCACGCCTGGGGGCCGCAGGGCTCAGCCTGAGCTTGGCATCCAGGGTGCCCACTGCCCAAGCTGCCCTGCACCCAATGACGCCCTGTCTGCCCAGAACTAGGCCTCACTGCCTATGTCAGGAGGAAGGCAGGCACCACCACCTCCTCCTCCCTGTCCCCCAGGCTCTCACCCCCTCCCTCTCCCTTGTGGCCTCCCTCTGAGGCACCCCCTGAGGCGAGAGAGAGTGTGGAGGTTAGCTGGGTTGGATGCCCAGCCCCACTGCTTCCTAGCTGAAAGGCTGTGGGCAGCTCATCTGGCCTCTCTGAACCTCAGTAACCTCATCTGTGAAATGGAAGTCCTGCTGTGAGGATTGCATGTGGTCACGCATGGGCAGGTTCAGCCCGTGCCTGGCACCTCCTAAGAGCACAAGTGCCAGCTGCTGCTACATGCAAACCTGACCATGGTTTCAATGCGGCCCTACTATCCACACCCCTCCCGACAGGCTCAGAAAATGTCTAGGAAGAAATGCATCGGGGCAGGCCCTTCTCCCTGTCCCCCATACCAACCTTGCCCCAGCTTCTGTCCTTCACATCTTCTGCCCACCCCTGGGGCTTTGCACGGCTCTAATCTTCACCTTGGACACTCAGGTTCACACTGCCCATTTGTTTGGTTTGGAGGATTTTTTTTTTAAGAGACAGAATCTTGCTCTGTCACCCAGGTTGGAGTGAAATCATAGCTCATGGCAGCCTTGAACACCTGGGCTCAAGCGATCCTCCAGCCTCAGCCTCCCAAGTAGCTGGGGCCACAGGCAAGCACAACCACACCTCACTAGTTTTTACTTTTTTGAAGAGATAGGGCCTCACTATGTTGCCCAGGCTGGTCTCAAACTCCTGGTCTCAAGCTCCTGCTTCTGTCTCCCAAAGCACTGGGAAGATGTCCCAGCCACCCCCTTGAGAAGAGACCTATTAAGCCATGTGGAAACTTGAATGGGCTTTCCAAGTACACATGGGGGGTGGTGACTTGTTGCAGTTAGTAGAGCCACCAGGAGGTTATTAAGCAGTGGGAAAAAGGGGTGAGAAGTCTAGAGGCTGGGGTTAGGTGCCGTGGCCTTTGGCACCGGCCCCTTCTCCGAAGGTACAAGAGAAAGACTGGAGGTCAGGGTTAGGTGCCACGGCCGTAGACGCCAGCCCTTCCTTCCCAGATAAAGGTGGAGAGCAAGAAGGAAGAGAAACTGACAGAGCAGATTACAAGAAACAGGAGTAGTTAAACCAGCTGAATCAGACTTTTGAGTTACAGGGAAAGTAGGAATCGGAGTTGTAGGAGGAACAGGAGAGGACAAAGGAGTTGAAGACTTTCTTTATTTGTTCACTTTTTTTTTTAAACCCCAGAATTTGCTCTGAAGCACAGGAAGAGGCATTAGCCACTGTGCCTGGCTCACACTGCCTGTTGAGGCCCAGGGGCTCTGCCTTCCTCTCTGTCCCACCGTGGTCCTGAGAGCGAGTTGTCCCTCCCAAGCTACCCGTCCCACGTCCACCCCCCTTCCTCACCAACAGATTCTGATGTTCGAGACAGCAATGGGACGTGCGAGGACACACCCCACTGCAGCTCCCTTGCAGGTAGGGGGTCTGGGACACAGTCCCGGCCAGGGAGGAAAAGGTACAAGTTTCTCACTGAGAATCAGCCCTTCCCTTTCTAGTTCCAGCCTGGATGGCGGCAGGAGGCTAGAGGGCGGAGTCACCTGTGATAAATGAGGGGCAGGCTCCTACACTAAGGTCAGGGGCTACAGAGGAAGGCCCGGGCCCAGAGCATGGCAGCTGTGCCGCCAGCTTGGGCTGTGTGCCTGGGACTTGCTGCCTGAGACCAATAATCCTCATCTGTCTAGCCACTGTGGACCAGGACGCTGGAACTTGCCTCTGAGCACATGCCTGAGGGTCAGTTCCCCGAATGTCTAGTGTCCTTGCTGGTTTTTACGCTTTTAAATGTATCTATCTACCCACCCACCTACCTACCTACCTACCTGCCTACCTATATTATTTATTTATTTATTGAGTTGGAGTCTCACTGTCACCCAGGCTGGAGTGCAGTGGCACACTCACAGCCACGGCAGCCTTGCCCTGCTGGGCTCAGGTGATCCTTCTGCCTCAACTTTCCAAGTAGCTGGAACCACGGGTGCACACCATCATGCCCGGCTAATTTTTGATTTATTGTAGAGAAAAGGTCTCACCATGTTGCTCAGGCTGGTCTCAAACCCCTGAGCTCAGGCAATCCTCTCCCCTCCACCTCCCAAAGTGCTGGTACAGGTGTGAGTCACCATGCCCAGCCTTTTTATTATTTCAAATAGAGATGAGGTGTTGGGGGTAAGAGACCGAGGGGCCAGGGGAGGCAGAGAGACCAAGGGGTGTGGGGGAGACTGAGGGGCAA